TCATTGTAAGAGTCACAAGTAGCCTTGTCCTCGTTTCCCTTCTCACACTCAGTCTTGAAATCGTCTATCTCTGATTCCATGTCACCATGCTTCTGTTCAGCTTTGCGTTTGGAACGTAGGTTTGAGTGTTCGGTTGCGAACGTTTTGGTTGGTTGCTGTTTCTCTTGTTCCATGTCCTTAATGATTCGTTCCAGTATATCTTGAGCCATCTGTTTTAGCGAATCTGAGTCATGACTAGATCTGCAGGAAGGATCGGCGTTGTCCGGTGAACAGAAGAGCCCTTTGCTGTTTTCTGTCAGCTTTTGTTCTTCAGATCCTGTTTTCTCTGTTGTAGAAAGGCCAAAGTTAAAAGATTTCTCTTGAGAACGTGTTGTTGTAAATTTAAGCTATATGTTTTATAGATTATAGAAGCTTTGTAATAGCATCTTTGAATATTTAAAGGGTAAATAAGGATCAATGTTTTTTTCTGAAAATGTAGTTTTATTAAACTATTGAATGTAAGGAAAATATAAATTGTTAATCTTGTAGCTGTTAAATTTTCAAGACTTTAGGTTACTGAAATAAAGCAAGAAATACCTGCTAAAGGTGACTCTGGGAGCGTTCCAAGATGAGTTTCATCATTGAAGTCCGTTGTCATTTTGGTCGGATCGGTTGTCTGAAAAAATGTTAAAAACTTAATTTCAAACGTTGAATTTTGAAGTCAAGGTTGCAATTTCTAAATAATTCTCATAAGGAAAGATTTAACTAGCTGTGAAATACAGAAGAATGTTAATAGTTATCGATTTCTTGCAGTCGAGACGACGTTCATTGTACCTTAATCTTATTCCGCAATTTAATCGGATGAACATTACTTACCGGTATCGGTTTGGCGTAGACAGCTCGTCCACGTCCATCAGGTCCTGCCCCAAACAGGCAGAAAAGCGCCAATAATGTTACCACGATCATAATTATCGTAGAAACACTTCGAATTTCACAGAAATTTAACCTTAAATTTCCACAGTACACTAGCAAAATGCAATCACCCGCTCGTGTCAACAAATAAAGATTTGTAAATCTGATTGCCAATGTTTCCAAATTATTGTGACGATTTGTGTCAAATCATACGTCACATTAGTAACAGAAAGTCACTTGACATATCCCGGGCCCTGTGATTGGTAGAAACGTTAGAAATGACGATCAATCTAGTAATCCGCATTGCCTGGCCTCTTTCTTGGATCACAAAACATAAACTTGAAGTTTGGTTCAAATTTCCTATTACTTAACTCAACAAAACAGCATCCTTGATACGCGATGTTTTTATTTTTGATGTTAAGAAAGTCTTACATAATCCCAAAAACTTCGTCGTATAACTTTTTGGTAGTTAAACGGCGTCAAAAAAATTTCGAACTTTTCAGAGTTTCGTCGTGATTCAATTTCGCCTGGGATTTTAACAGAAGAAAGATAAAACCCTTCTGCAAATTTTGTAGGAGGCGGAGCCATGCAGTTCGTTAAAATACTCAGTGTATTAGGCAACGTCTTCATTGGGGTTTGGGGGCTGGGCCCCTCTGGAATGTTATTTGGGAAATAAGCCGAGTTTCAGGAAAGCTTTAGGGACATCAGGTGACACAGAACAGCAATTCATGAAAACTTATATAACAAGCTGTATATTTTCTCACACTACATTAAAGCTAGTCAATAGAAATACTTAGTGCTTGAAATCAAAGTTTGGTATGAGAATAGGGCAATCGGCCATTTTATTTCTAAAATTTTGTATTGAGAGACAACCAGACTTTCGTCGTCTTCCGCCTAGAATAAAATTTGCAAAAAAAATGCAAATGTCTTGTGCCAATGAAAGAGGTTGTAAACAATCTTTTGGTGGTACAAAACTTGAAAATGGCTTTGAGAAAATCAAACATTTAGTAAACTAATGCTTTTCGTCTGACACTCTTCAGAGTTTCAAACGTCAGAACATTGATCGAAAACTCTACGCTAGGAAATATATATACCCAGTTGTGGATCGAAATAGGCCAATCAGAAACACGAGCACATGACTGCTGAGGTTGACCAATCAGTGCTGCTTGCCTATAGAGAATGTAAAGTTTTTTGTCTGACACTCTTCAGAGTTTCAAACGTCAGAACATTGATCGAAAACTCTACGCTAGGAAATATATATACCCAGTTGTGGATCGAAATAGGCCAATCAGAAACACGAGCACATGACTGCTGAGGTTGACCAATCAGTGCTGCTTGCCTATAGAGAATGTAAAGTTTTTTGTCTGACACTCTTCAGAGTTTCAAACGTCAGAACATTGATCGAAAACTCTACGCTAGGAAATATATATACCCAGTTGTGGATCGAAATAGGCCAATCAGAAACACGAACACATGACTGTTAGAGACACATGACTGAAAGAATTTGAAGAAAGGTTGTAGTTTAATTTGAAGAAAGCAGAGGTGGAGTCTTTTGAAATCGGCGACAAATGAGAACGACGGTGAAAATGAACTCATTTCAGGAATGAGGAGAATGATATTAAAATTTGTATTGAGTTGCTTATAAGGATACACAAATGTATTTTATCATTCCATAGAATAGTAGAATATGCAAATTCTCAAAATTCTTAAGTGAAAAAAATTTTGTAGAGATTTTTTAAGATTTGGTCGAAGAAAATTGCGTCAAATCATTTGTCCGAAGAAATTTTTCAACGACGAAACTTTTTTAGTTTTATATATTGCAAATGAATTGAGTGCATTGGCTTTAGCTTATGTAGATACTTTCATCGCCTCTTTTTTTTCTTTCTTAGATGGCAAGTACCTGGCAGTTGGGTCTCACGATAACTTCATCTACTTGTACAATGTTTCTGACGATGGAAGAACATACAAAAAATGCGGCAAACTTAGTGTGAGTTTCGAAACTTTGCTTAGCATGAGTTGCTTTCTGATTTATTATCTAGTTTTGTTTATCGAGCTTTATTCAAGGTGTTTACGAAAGTGTTCTTTTAAATAGTTTTGTTTCTTATCGTTGGCTTACCTCTACACGCTTTGTGTGGCCTACTGCCAAACATTTCTAAGAGTTTTATATAAGTCCTGTAAGCACGCCGGGGCCAAGCCTTGAATAACTGTAGCCCTGACGTGGACTTTCCAACATTTGGCCTAGCCATTTGGCCTAGACATGGCTAGTTTGCGTAATTTGTTGAAAAGGCTAATGACAAATTGTATGTAGAATCAAGACTCAAGTTGCCTTGCTGCGCAGTGCTACGGATGGAGAAAGTGTTGCCAGTGCTCAAAATTTATCGCCTATGATAAACAAATAGGCACAACCGATTTGCTGTTTGATATCTTTATGTTTTTGTTGCTCAGGGTCACTCGAGTTTTGTCACGCATTTGGACTGGTCAAAAGATAGTCAGCATATTCAGAGCAACTCTGGAGACTATGAAATTCTTTACTGTAAGTAATCTTTTTTATCACAATAAAAATAAATACAAAATTCAAATTAATCATTGTTGAGATGAAGGCAAAAACATAACGTTATCGAATTTCCTCCACACCCAACATTACAAATATTCCAAAACTTTATATAATACACTATAAGTACACAATACAGCACAATACAGCATAATACAGCACAATAAAGTACAATACAGCACAATACAGCACAATACAGCACAATACAGCACAAAACAGCACAATACAGCACAGTACAGCACAATACAGCACAATACAGCACAATACAGCACAGTACAGCACAATACAGCACAATACAGCACAGTACAGCACAATACAGCACAGTATAGTACACAATTCAAGCATTGTATACGTCATCGTGGCCGTCGAGGACCACAGAATTCAAGCTACCAGATATAGCAGACAACGACTGAAAATAATTGATTGAAATCATTTAGTTTGCTTGAAGAATTCAACGGTGCATTTCAGTATCAATTCGATTGCTTTCTCGTTGTAAGCATTACTTCCAAAAACAAGTAGATCACATGAATGGTTGTCGGGCAGTTGATTTTGGCTTTGATAAATCTGACGAGATTCAGGAAAAAAATTTCTAATATACTTGACCTTCACTTTGACCAATTATAGATTAATTCACCCCTAGATAAAATTTTCATATTGAAGATCATTTAAATTGATTGACAGTAATTATAAATTTGGGCAACTTTCCTATTATTGATTTTTTAAACTGGTTGTAAAATAACAATTTAACGATAAGTTTTCATAGCCACTATATCTTCATTGTTTAGTTCAAAGCACACAAGCAATGTTGCAAGGTCCGATAAAAGAGGCATTAAAAATGAGACGAAGTCAAATATCGTACTAACGCTAAAATTGAGTATTGTGTCATTTTTCTGCATACTTGCAGTTGCAAGTTCAGGGTAAATATCGATTTTCTTATTTTTTTATGTTGAGATATAGGAATACAGTCGAAGGGTTTTTTTTAGGGCACGCTCCTACATGCAGACAGATTGTGGCTGCTGCATCGATGAAGGACGAAGAATGGGAAACGTGGACATGTGTGCTTGGTTTTCCAGTAATTGGTCAGTTGTCTTTTTTGCCTTTGACGACCGTACATTTGTCCTGTTCCTTTTTTTTTATTTTTCTATAATTGTGCCTTGGGTATTTTCTAGGTCAAAAGGGTTGCTTCTTCAGTTTTTGGTTGGGGGCACATCATCATCATCATCATCATTACATTTACATTTAACAATCCTTTGGGTCATACAAATGTCTGCCCAGTCAACTACAACATTAAAATTTTAAAATTTACTGAGGTGATTTCGACATAGGTTGTAAAAGGTATCCGAATTCGCCTGCATCACAATACTGTCTGGCAGGCTATTCCATACAGAAACGATTGAATAAAAAAATGAAAACCTAACAACATCAACCCTTCCGAATTTAGGCATGATCTTTTGCTGATAAACTATGCATGCATTTGTAGCCATGTTGCTTAGCTAGGGGGAACTCAATAAAGATAATGAATGGAATTCTCAGTAAAAATTCTCCGTAAAAAATCTTCTTTGCAGTTGAGCCTCCAAGAATATAAATTTTAGGTTTAAGAATATAAAAATAATGAAATATGTTTTTATTTTAGGAGCTTAGATGATTTAAAAAAGCCCTCAAACCTACAAATCATTGGTTACGATACATTGGTTGCTAAATATTTCTTAGTTGGTTAGGTAGTTCTAGGCTTTTTGTGACATTTTATGCTATATGTGGCGGCAGATGTCTAAAAATTAGTGTTTTATAAAAATTGAGATTTTAATTGATATCATATAACAAGGAATTTTGTTTGTACTAAAGGGATCTGGCCGGAGGGCGCTGATGGTACGGACATAAACGCTTGCTGTCGGTCCAACAACCAGGAATACGTTGTGACGGGTGACGATTTCGGACAAGTGAATTTCTTCAATTTTCCATCGACCAAACCAAAGGTAACCTGCTTTACACAGATGTCTTTTGTATGTAATTTTTGAAATTTCTCAATAATTTCTCGTAATTTTTCAAGGGATGGAAGGAACCTTAAGGAAGCGCCTATGCCGTATAGTAGTGTACTACTTTAGAGGTCATTCTTTTAGTTTTCTGACATTTTAAAACATAATTGCAGCTAAGTCTCTCCGGATTAAAACATTTCTTGTTCAAAGCTACTGTCCCTTCTTGTTGGACACAGGTCTGTAGAACTTCCTTTTCAATTACAGGAATTGTTTGAGCTCTTACTGAAGCTCACAGTAGAGCTGGGAATCTTCTTGTTTTACCTTGGATGACACTTTGTTCGTTATGAGCACGCATCATTATCCCTTAGTCCACATTGTTTGCAGTAAATTTATATAGTTCTAAAGTAGACGCCTTTGATGGTGAAGTTTCAGCTATAATGTATACAGCCCCATAAATTCATAGTCTGCAATATACTTTTCCGACCAAGCAAAATAGAATCCCTTACTTTGTATGGACCGATTTCAAAACTTTTTCTCAAATTCCAGCCTCAAAATGTCTCAAATGGAACCATAGCACCCCTATCCTAAAAATATATAGGTACCCTCCCCCTGGAATACGTTTTAATTCATCCTAGATAGATATTTTAACGCACCTAACTAGCAGCTTTAATGATACCTAAATTAGGAAGACAGCTAGTTTTGTCCTTTATAAACAACAAGACAGTCAAATTAACATTATCTTTATTCACCCAGGCTGACAGTCAGCGTTGCGTTGGTCATAGTTCCCACGTCACTTGTGTCAGATTCATGTATGATGACAACAGAATGATTTCCGTTGGAGGCAAGGATTCTGCAGTGATGCAATGGAGAATATCTTAAGTAAGCCATCTTTTTGCCACCAAGTGAACTAACTTTCTAGTACTTAGAAATTAGCCTAATTTCTTTTGTTAATAATTACTTTAATAAGATTCTATTGTATACTACAGTCAGGCATTTTTTCGAAAGGAGAGACGGCATGTCCCCGTATTGATCACTGTCTCTATATGACAACATGTTTTGTCGTCCTGACATTGAGATGGAATGCCGCTGAATGCCGTATACTCGTAAGGTCAATTTCATAACATTAATAGACACCATTTCAAACAAGTTGAACCTTTTCATTGTTCTTGTATATTCCATTCCGTATTCCCTTTGAGTATCTTTTAGTTCATTACTTTTGAAGTACGTGCATGATAATAAATCCTCCCAGAGTGAAAACAACTCTACTGAATCAAATATCATAAGCACTTTTAGTAAGAAAGAAATTACTAGTAAATCTGCCTGGCTGCTTGAATGCATTAACACGCAAGTATTTAAAGTTTCACTGTTTGATTTAGGATAAATAATAGCGTTTATTCAGTAGGCTAATACCTAGCATACTCTAGAGATGGACTGTGTATATTTTCTGGGATTATCCCAGAAAATACTTAATTGTATCGTAGCCGTTTTTCCAACAGTAAAAAATATGAAAATATCACGAAAAACATGAGAATATCACATGGTAATTCTTTTAAAAACAAGGAACATTGCTTTATTCAATTCTTGAAGGAAATAGTTTAGCTTAAAAATGTTATTTCATATTTGATAGAAAATATTTAGATGTCAGGAAGAAAGTTGATATCATTCAAAAAACACTATATGAGTTGTTCATCCTTTCTTTCAATTCAATAAAATGAAGCACGCTTTAAGATCAAGTCATCATATGCATTGCATTTTCAAGGATATATATTTTACATGAATGATAGAAATAATCTTTCACGGATCTTAAAAGTTCGACTGGCAGCCCAAAGTGCTTTGTCACATGGCCAACGTGTCATCAACTCACGGATCTTGTCTTTAAACAAAAGGTTTTTTGGTTTACCAATGTGATTATCTCAGAAGGAGAAAATGTCACAAGGATTTTCTCGAAAGCATTCGCCTCCTCCAATGACCTTAATCATGAAGATGAAGAAGAAAAACCAATATTTTCCTCGCGCGAATATTAACAGACAAGTAAATAATATAGTTGCGAGAAGCAATAAAAATACAAAAAAGTTTTACTCAATATTTAGCTTCTTTTCTCATACATTTTTACAATTATAAAGAATTTTCATGTTTCCACCTTTTTTAAACCTACATTAACACGTACGAGGTCTTCTGAAGTAAGACGTCAATTTTCAAAATTTCAAATTTTTCCAAGGCTTGCATTTTGTTGCAAAACTCCAACCTAATTTTTCTCAAGTGAAACAAGGTTCATGAAGTTTCCCGGCTAATAATCACTTTTATTCTTTAATTCGCAAGCTTTTCATATTTCCGAAGTGTTTTTAAGGAAAATACTCACATTCGATATTTCCAATTTTCAAAAGCAAAAGGCAAACCTCTTGCTCCATTTTCGAACCTAGCATTCCTCTAGAAAACAAAATTACACAACGCTTTTAGACTCCTGAACACGTCTAAACATTTCTTAAACATTTAACCAACATATAAGAAATACTTGGACCGAAAATAATGACCTCGTGACATTTAAGATGAATCGATTATCCTTTTATCCGATCAGGTATTTGTATCAGGTCAGGCAACTTTCATTATAAAAGCCAGTTATTTTGCTAACATATGACCAGAATAAAGGCAAATTGAAATTATAAATAAGGAATTTTTAATAGGCTAATTTTTGAATAACAAAATAAAGCTGTGTCATTAGAAAAATCATCAGGCATAAAATATTTCGAAAGTTTTTTCCAAATGTGGACGTTGTACTGAATAGGAGAACTGCTCTTGCATCATCTGCTTTCTCAAAAGTGTGGCGAAATCGAAGCATCAAGTTAACGTTGGAGATTAGAATTTATAACGCCTGTGTTCTACACGTGCTCTTGTACGGCAAGAGAAGTAGCTGAGAGGGCAAGAGAAGAAGCTGAGAGGGCAAGAGAAGCAGCTGAGAGGGCAAGAGAAGAAGCTGAGAGGGCAAGAGAAGAGGCTAGATGTTTTTGACCAGAAATGTTTAAGACGAATCCCGGGAGTAAGATGGCAGCATCGTGTACGAAACGAATCGCATCAAGAAACGCTTAGGGTAAAGTAAGAAAGACGCGGTTCTGGTGGTTGGCAAAGCGGCTAGCGCAGAGCCGGGCAGACTGGAAGGGTTTGTGTCCCGGGTCGGCGTCAGCTGAAAACGGTAGAAAAAGAAGAAGATTTTTTCTAGAGAAGGTAAGGCTATAGCCTTAGAACAATTGTCAATTTGTTTAAAAAAATTTTCTTCTTAGAACTAATTAAGTCACTTATATATGGGCATTGACTTCAGCTCTGGAAAGAAGGTAGTATTCTTGAAAAAGATGCCTTTTGGATGCGTCAATGTTTGCTAAAAAAATGAAGCTACATCTTTTGTAAAAATCATCAAATTTTTTAAAAACTTTTTTTTTCAAAAACCAGTTATTTCCTTTACACATAATCAGAAAATACGTAAATGGGCTTAAGTTCTTGAATGAAGAACGTTTTCTTGAAAAAATGATAACCTTTGGACCTGTCAATTTTTTTTAAAAAAGTAAGGTATAGCCTTAGAAAAATTGTGAAATATTTTCGAAAATTTTCTTTTTAAAACTTTGTTTATTCGTTTACATATGAACAGAATATACATAAATTGACTTTGATTCTGAAATGAAGGTCGTTTGTTGACACAATAAGGATTTGTTAGATCGGTCTTATTTGGCTTAAAAAGGAAGCTTTAGAAAAATCATCCAATTTTTTCGAATTTTTTTTTCTTCTAATGCCAGTTTTTAAACCAATTAATGAATTGACTGTTGATCCGGAATAAGGGCGGTTTTCTTGAAAAAGTAAGGACATGTTTGACGGGTCATATTTTGCTTAAAAAGTAAGGCTATATATTTAGAAAATTATTCCTTGTTCTTAGAAGACTAATCAAATTTTTTCAAAATATTTTTTTCTCAAAACCAGTTATATCCGTTGCATCAGAAAATACATAACTTGAAACTAGTTTGGTTTTCATATCGAAAAAAGGAGGTTTTTTGAAGAAGTAAGGATTTCAAAGACTGGTGGATTTTTGTTAAAAAAGTAAAGCTATAGCATTAAAAATGAATTTTTGGACCGGTCGATAATTCCTGAAATATTAAGACAATATGGACATAGAAAAATGATTGATATATTTCGAAAAATTTACTGCAGGTCGAATTTTAAACAAAGAATAATGACTTTTTGGATGTGTCGATTTGTGCTCAAAAAGTAAGGCCCTAAACGGTCTTTGCACTTTTTCATGGGACAGGGTCAGGGGGGGGGGGCAAAAAGGTTTAGAGGAACATTAGAACCCGTTGTTTTTGAAGGGATATTAACGGTGATCAAAGGAACATTTTGACAAGTTTCCTATAGTCTTTTAGAGAACATTCAAGTAACCTTGTTGGGGACAGGAGAAATGTTTTGAAACTTTTTAGCAACACAGACATGGCCGAGCTGTCGAAGAAACTTATTTTAGTTATTTTGAAAGCAATAAAAGATATGATCCCTTATCTTACATACATAATAAGTTATTTATAAACTAAGATATTTCTTAATGTTAACATGTTGGCACTATTTTAAAAAGGGTTTTGACAATTGCTACCCTGGTTCCTATTAAATGAAGAGAACAAGAAATTTCCTTCTATGGCAGGCAAAATATTTTTGTTAAAAACTGCTTCAATTTCTCGAAATACATATAGCTGAGGTCAAACGAAATCACATCTTTTGGTAGCGTACATAATTGTCAAGTAAGTTTTAAGGGCATGCTCCTAGAAGGAACGAACAAATTTATCATAGGTTACAGATTCGTTTAGAATCAGCGACGTATTTTGTTAATCCTTCTGCTACGCTTCTTTTGAAAAACGTTAGCTTTAAAACAGGGTTGAGAAATGAAAGTCGAAGATAAGTACTGAGGGGTTTTTATCAGTCCCTCTTTTGCAGGTGGCTTGTTAATTATGCAGATATATCTGAAGACATAACGTCATTCCAAGATGGTCCAGAACAACACGATGCAATAAAATACTCCCCTGGTAATGTCCATTTATTTACTTTTACTTTTATCCTCTTTTTTTTTTATCGCGAGTTTTTATCTTGATTATTGCAGTTGTGGCAGTACCTTAGCCCATGAGGGCCTATTTCACAAAAATTCTCTTAGGTTGGGGGCTCATTGGAGGAGGGAAGGGCTCATTAGAAGGTGGGAGCTTATTTTAGGACTTACGGTATTCACAATTACAGGGAAGTAATAGCTTTCTCGAAATTGAAGTTGTTCTGTCAAGTTGACATTGCACTATAATCACGTGTTCTTATTGGATTTTATGCAGATGTGCATGAGTATGCTAAACTATCATTGCGTTTCTGGGTGGGAGGGCACAGGATTTCTTGGACACATTGACCACGCCCAATTTTACAGATGAGTAGGAGGCTTGTCACGCCTATTATTTCATTTAGAGGCCCCTACTTTCCCAAGCAGAAAGCTAATTGGAGATCATGTTGTGGGATATCGGACATGGACAACAATGACCGTTTTAAAGAATTAAATGGGTTTTTAAGGAAGGATACATTTAGACTTAGAAAAATCCATTTTAATATGCTCAGGAAGTTGATGACTCCAAAGGTGATAGTCTTGAGAAGATGACACAGTAGGAATAACCGGATTCAACAAACAATTTTACATATTGAAACAAATAACTACTAGAATTAAAACAAATAACTCAGTAAATGCCAGTTATTGTCTTTGAATTAAATTTGCTAATGTCCGTTTCTTTAAAATGATCTTCGTTTCTGAGAGGCCTTTTTCTGTGACAAGACTCTATAAAGCACTTCAGCGACAGTCCTCCGTTGTCTTTTAGGAGTCGGCTCTGGGACGTCCATAATCCTTTCTGCATCCTTTCTTGGAAGTACAACTGGTTTGTTGCCTCCGCCTATCGTTTCAACAACGTAATTTGTTGCTCCCATGTTGTTGAGCCCATTTCCGTCATTTGCCTCATCAAACTCAGCTTCAAATCTATCAAGAATGGGTGTAGTTCTACGTTTCAGTCCACTGGAGTTTTTTTGAAACGTGCTTGATCTATCGGCAGGGGAATAACTTTCAGACGAGCGTCCTTTTGAAATCTTTGCAAAATAAGCATCATCTTCCTCGAGGTCAGCTCTGATCTTTGCATCTAATTTCCTCAACTCACTGTCGTCTTGATCACTTTTTTCTAAATTTCCAATTCGATAATCATTTTCATGAGAATCGAAAAACTGTTTGTCTTTTCCTGCTGCTTTGCCTACTCTGTTATTTAAATGATCATCAGACTCATTCTCGTTGTTCCTTTTTAAAAATAAATCATGGTTTTCTTTCCATTCTATCCACTTGAAGTAAGAATCACAGGTTTCCTGATCCTCTTTTCCATCGTCACAATCTTTTTTAAAGTTCGAGATGCTACTCTCCTCAGTGTTTTTTATATTACGTTTGCGACGGATCACGTTTATTTCTTCGTCTTTCACTTTCATTAGATCGTGAAACGAGTCACATGTTTCTTTGTCTTCTGTCCCTTCTTTACAAGCCTTTTCGAAATCTGAGATCTCAAGATGTGATTTATATTCTTCTTCATTCTCTTCTGTTTCTATCAATTTCTTTGCATCGCGTTTGCGACGAAGTATCTTCTTTTCCTCTTCTTTCTCTTTCATTAGATTATAGAAGGAATCACAGGTATCTTTGTCTTCTGTTCCTTCTTCGCAAGCCTTTTTGAAATCTGAGATCTCAAGACTGGATTCATAATCTACTTTCTTCATTCCAGGTTCTTTTTCAACTTCACGTTTGGAACGGAGGTTTGAGTGTTCGTTGGAGATTTTGTTGAGTTGACTCTCGTGAGCTTCTTTCCAGGATAACCACTCATTGTAAGAATCACAAGAAGCCTTGTCCTCATTTCCCTTCTCACACTCTGTCTTGAAATCATCGATCTCTGATTCCAAGTTACCATGTTCCTGTTCAGCTTCGCGTTTGAAACGGACGTTTGAGTGTTCGTTAGAGATTTTGTTGAGTTGACTCTCGTGAGCTTCTTTCCAGGATAACCACTCATTGTAAGAGTCACAAGTAGCCTTGTCCTCGTTTCCCTTCTCACACTCTGTCTTGAAATCATCGATCTCTGATTCCAAGTTACCATGTTCCTGTTCAGCTTCGTGTTTGAAACGGACGTTTGAGTGTTCGTTGGAGATTTTGTTGAGTTGACTCTCGTGAGCTTCTTTCCAGGATAACCAATCATTGTAAGAGTCACAAGTAGCCTTGTCCTCGTTTCCCTTCTCACACTCTGTCTTGAAATCATCGATCTCTGATTCCAAGTTACCATGTTCCTGTTCAGCTTCGCGTTTGAAACGGACGTTTGAGTGTTCGTTGGAGATTTTGTTGAGTTGACTCTCGTGAGCTTCTTTCCAGGATAACCACTCATTGTAAGAGTCACAAGTAGCCTTGTCCTCGTTTCCCTTCTCACACTCTGTCTTGAAATCATCAATCTCTGATTCCAAGTTACCATGTTCCTGTTCAGCTTCGCGTTTGAAACGGACGTTTGAGTGTTCGTTGGAGATTTTGTTGAGTTGACTCTCGTGAGCTTCTTTCCAGGATAACCACTCATTGTAAGAGTCACAAGTAGCCTTGTCCTCGTTTCCCTTCTCACATTCTGTCTTGAAATCATCAATCTCTGATTCCAAGTTACCATGTTCCTGTTCAGCTTCGCGTTTGAAACGGACGGTTGAGTGTTCGTTGGAGATTTTGTTGAGTTGACT